AATTTAATACTGGGGCACTCCTTGCTGAAAGTAGTAGAAATAAGCAGTGGAGAAAGAGAGAGAAAATTAGCTGTAGTAGAAACAGCAGTATAGGAGAATAAAGAAGAAAATTACAGAGTCTCAGTACCTCTTGTTAATTCGCCAAGCGAGTGATAAATCCCCCACAACAAAGGTAACATGACAACGGCACGGGTCGCAATTCGGAAAAGTGCTTGAAGAGTTAAGTCTCTAATGTGCCACTGTTTTATGTTTTTGTTTGTTGTTTTTTTTTTCTGTTGTTTAGTCACGTAATGAATTTCAATTCATGTTATTCAAATATTTCTGCACGCATGAGACAAAAAGTTTCCGATCAGCTCACCGTGATAAAGACTCACTGATGAGTCATCTGTCACTACTTTTTCTGTTTAGCTCTTCCGTCGAGGATCAAACTTTTAAACAAAGACTTCCATTGGACTAATGATGTATCGTAATGAAATAACGACAGTAAAGTTTAGTTGCTTTGGTTCTAAAGGAAAATCTAGTTCTATCTTACTTTTTTATCGCTTAAGAAAGTAAACGCGACTTATCGAGTGTAGCCTGTAGTACAAGCCTCTTATCATGGCAAGTTAACGTTAGGAAGCGCACGATCGCGATTTATTCAACCAGCCATTTTGAATTTGGAGTAAACTCGACGGTACAGGCAGGGGCGAAGGGCGAAAATATTCACTCCCCCATCCTCATCAACTCCTTACTTTTTCGCTGTCGCTTAACTTCTTGGTACAAAATTTTCTCTCCCCAGCCTTTCGCTTCTATTAAAATCAAAGATGACGGCCATAATTTTCGCTATGAAATTGCCAAGCACTTGCTCGCAAAAATTACGTTTGCTCTGCTGGCTAATTCAGGTGTCACGCTTCACACGAGTCGGGGATTCCCCGACTTCCCTCAGATGACGTTTAACACTAACACGCTTGAGAGCTTTCCTAGGAAACATTTACACCATCCTAACGAAAATCTCGACTGCAGGACCAGGTTAGTGCATGTTTTCGTATGAAACGGAAAGATGTAAATTTATTGTGTTTAAAATTTGGTTTTATTTTTGACCAGATTATTTGAGACTAGATTAAACAACATGCAAACAAACAAAATCCTCGCAATCGTTTTTCTCGAAGTCATCTTGACGGATCATCATTATGTCGAGGAATTCGGGAAACACGTGATTATTTGTCTACTTCGAGGCTGAATAAAAGTTGAGCATAGTAACAAGAATTAAAATGTTTTCATTGGAAAGAGATTTTTCAGTTTAAAAGCAATTACAAAACTGTACAACAACAACAACACAATCACACTTAAACGACATTTGTTTATTTCTTATTTGCACCTTTTCAAAATCAAAGCTACTAAACCACAAAATACTTCACGATAGTATGTAAATCATGTTATACATTTGGAATACTCAATTTCAGACTTTTCTCTTGTATGCCAAAACAAACATTTAACAATATATAGAAGCAAATGTTTCCTGAGAAGACTTCCAGTCACCCCTCAAAATTTATTTTCGAAAGGATCCTCCTTGAAATATAGAAAATCTCGAAAGGAGATTTAAAAATGACAATAAAAACTAATAATCCAAAAAAAGTGCAAAAGCTTTACAGTCAATTAGGTTACACAAAATTGATTAACAAGAAACTTTTTTAGCGATATATATTTAATGAAACAGCAAGTAAAAATCTAATTTAAACTATAATAGAAACTTTGGCATTTGATCACTGACATGTTAACTACTGAAACTAGAAAGAGGTAACATTCAACACATTGGTTTATAATGAGCAAACACCCTTAAAATTATTTCATTTGGGACAATATGATCAAAAATATAACTTATTTACACACCTCTTGATCATCAATGTCTAAGCAAAACCCTTTTAATTTATGAACTATCACCATATCTATTCTCTTTGAAATCTTAAAACTCAGAGAGGGAGCAAAGATTAATAATTTTTTATCAGAAGATCTAGATTGTACATAATTCTTTTTTCTCAAGACAAGCCAACGAATCATTTGAGAGAATTCATTTACATCTTGAGAAGAATTACTTTTCACTTCACATCTCAAGGAAAGAAAAGGGTAAAAAAAATGTCTCTACTTTCGTTATAATCACTGTCAAAATCATTTCATTAAACATTTTCTCTTTCATGAACAGAGTGTATCTGAGATCAAGATTTCTACTAACAGAAACAATGCAATTAGCTTAAAATGTTCTGAACCAGTTAAACGGAACTTCTGCTTCTACTTTTCATACAATAGTTGGAATACTGACATGTTTTCATGTTAACTATTAAATATATTGGAAACATTGAAATTGTACAGCTTGGACAGCAAAAATACGTTTGCGGCAGAACTTTATATCACTTCTGAATTAGGAAACTACCAATTTGTAACATAAAATTTCTGCAGAAATTTCGTGTTACTTAATTAGTAAGTTCTGAGAGGTTTGACTACTGAAAACAAAAGCAAATATACTTATGGGTAATAGAAACTTTTAATATAATGTACAATCATTCTGGAACTTGCGGCATGAAAACTACATAATCATATAGAAAAACAGAAAAATGTAACATAAGAAAAGTTTGGAAACATTATCATTAGTCTCGGTCAGGCTTATAATGTGAAATGTAATGCATCATTGCTGTTAACTCTGAAATTGGAGTCATTCATAAAATATGGCCACGTACAAAACAATCCATTACACAGAAAAAAGAAAACTTTCCAGAATATGCCTATCCAGAGTTCCCTCTATTAACTCTGGCCTATCTAAATAAGGAAATTCAACTTGTTTATGGTTTCCAAGTTACCTCCCTTCTCACATCAATCAAATGTAATATGTAATATCGGTTCTGAAGTGTGTGTTTCCATTTGATAACTTTATAACTCAGGAAATTACTATATAACAGGGTTCGACCAAAAAAAAAAATACTGTTTTGGAAAAACTTACAGTTCCTCGTAAAAGCTTTCCAAAACATCACGGCTTATTGCTACTGGGGTAGGGTGGGAAGGAGGAACGTCAATAACGAGTGAAAACGGCAATACCAGGCGTTCACAGAACAAGTACTTTACTTCCTTTGGTTGGCCAAAAACTCAAAACAACAGCGATGCGTCCATCAGTAGTCACTGTAATCCCCTCGACCGAATAGTTACCTTCCTGTTGGATTTGTACGCTGCGCACAAATTCACCATTTTTGGTGTAGATTTCTACATGCAGGTCTTTCTTTTCTTCAGCACCAGCGACGATGACATGTTCACCTGCTCGGTGAAATGCGAGCCTAACTGAACCAAAGCCAGTTGAGCTTTGCAGTTCAAAACTGTTGAGATGGTCGCCGCGGCGTTCACTAAATATGTGAACACAGGATTCAAATCTTTCCACTACCATAACACGGCCATCATTGGAAACAATGGAATGCCTCGGTTCCTTCAATATCCCTTTTCCGAAATTTCGAACAAACTTTCCATCAGTGTCATATTCCTCCAATGTCCTGCCCCTCAGTGTCACTACTTTTCCTGTATCACTGACCGACAGTCCTCTGTACCAGTCCTTTCCTCTCAGACGAAACTTGTGAACCAGATCAGCGGCTTTAGTAAGTTTGTAAACCCAAAAAGATATCTCAGTCCCAGGCTTCTCCAGGATGGTCAGCACAAATATGTTATCGTTCATGTCTGTGGCAACATCACAAATACATAACTTTGTATTTGCGTCCTCGTTAGGGAGACTGATTTGTTCCACAAAGGTGCCGTTTCTGTCAAACACCTTTACATGACAATCTTCAAATTCACCGACAACGAATTCTCCGCTGGAGTTTGTAGCGATACCTGTCGGCCACCTTAGATGTTGTTCTTCTTCGCCCTCCTGACCGAATGACCATGGTGTTACACAAAAGTGTTCCATTCCATTCTTGCGCAGAACTTTGCTTACTCGTTCGTCCGACAATATTTGAAGGTTTTCTTTTCCGGTGTCAACAATATGAGCAGGATAGATCGCAAGAGACAAACCTTGAGTAACCGCTACCGTGACGTCGTAGATGACACGATTCACATGATAGACATTGCAGATGATTTCCCTCCTTTCCTCTTTACTGAACAAACCCCTGACTGCCCGGATTCCTCTTTTTAGCTGAACATCTAAACTGTTTTTCACAGCTGCCATGGAGTGTAGTTCATCAATGCACACTCTGCATCGTGCCAATGCGTCCACAGGATTGTCCACTGTTTCCAGTATTGTCGCCATAACTCGGTACTGCATGGCCAGAATACGGTCAGACGATTCTAGAGCTTCGTTGTTGAAGGCTTCTGTTGCTTTTC